AAAAAAAAATCTTTCCCATAATCATTCCACCCAGAGACTAACTGCTGTTTGCATTAAAAAAACGCTTAAGTAATACGTTCATTATCGGGAAAAAAATATATACATATAGATTAACAAAAAGACAAAAAAAAAATCATCATTCCCAGAATCATTCTATCCAGAGATAAACTACTGTTAACATTTTAAACTTTCTCCCTACTCATGTATTTCACGTTTCAGTGTAATCATGTCACACATGCTTTGTGGTCTGCTTGAATATATCGGGGGCATCTTTCCATATGAACAATCTTGTTTTTCATCAGAGTCTTTGTTTTTACCTGTTGTGTTGTATTGCATATATTTGGAGTTCTTAAAAAAGAAAAAAAAAGTCAGGTGGAATGATGGGGAACCCACAGGTTACAGTCATGACGCTTCCTTGAGTTTAACGCTTTTTAAAGGCTGAGTGTTCCAGAACCAGGACAGGGGGTACTGAGAGCACTCTCAGAGTTTTTCAAAGGCTCTAGGTTTGCAACAACTTTGGCAGAAAGGTAGCAGTTAAGGGCTTATATCCCTCACATTTCTACTAGAACTCTCCAAGTAATGCAGGGAGTTCTCAGCCCTGAGTGTCACAGACGATGATACTTTAGGGGTACCTCTGAGTGGTCCCTTACAGCCCTAGGGCACAGCAGAGGGGGCTTGAGGAGGAGGAAAAGGGGCAGGAGAGGGAAGACCAGAAGGGGAGGAGGAGGGGGGAGCAACAAGTAGTCAGAAGAAGGGAGTAAAAGACGTTGAGATGCTGCTTGGTGTGGAGCTGGGTGGTACCAGCCTGAGCCACCTCCGCCTGCCCTCCCATGAGGGAATGGGAGCTTTTCCAGTGAGGTCACGCCAAGGCCCTGCTCTCTGATTTAAATGCTTGCGTGCTCACTCACTATCAAGCTTTTCCAATGCTCACATCTGGGCTGCATTACCAAAGAGGCCCAAGTGTTTGCAGAAGATAATTTGCAGCAGCAAATAACAACCCCCCAGCCCGGAGAAGTCCCCCAGCAACCTGGGGGAGTTTGGACTCACACGGAAATGGAGAACTGGCTCAATGAATTATGGTGCATAAATAAATTATGGGGCATCTATATACCCAGGTGTCACATGCATATTTAGCATGTTATCATTGAGCTTTTGTAACTGAAGACAAAGGTTTAATCCTGAAGTTCATAAAGGGAACGCTAAGCGCCCTTCAGCTTCAGGGTTTTCTTCCATGCAGAAGCTGCCTATGTTTCTGAGCTGCTCCCTGCGTCCTGAGGGGAATTAACCAAGAGAAAGTCACCCCCTCTCCCAGATCTGCAGGACCCCAGTGTTTAGCCCAGGACTCACTGAGACAATGCACGTCAAATATTTAGCCCAGTGCCTATCACAGGGTTAATGCTATATATCCATAGAGAGAGAACTTCTTGAGAGCAAAACTGAATGGTTTTTTCTTTTTCATAAACACTATAATTTTTTTAAAAAATTGTATTTTCTTATATTTTTATAGCATTTTGCAAACACCCTTTCTATCCTGATGTCTCTTTATTTGTCACAACCAACTTGAACAAGACCGCATTTACCATCTCTAGCGCACTGGATCAGAATCTGGGCCAGGAATGTGGGGGATTTGGGGCTTGGAGGGGTATGACTGTCTAGTTTGAAAAATTCCTAGGATGATTCAGATACGCACCCCCTCTCTCTCTGTGGGGAAACATTGAAATGCAATGTACTTAAAAAAAAACTAATCTCTTTTATTAAAGTGACCAATTGTTCACTGTACGAATGCCATCACTTACATCTTCATTGTCGGCATTTGGATATTTCTAACTGTTTGCAATGAAAATAACCGTGATGCATATCCTTGTAATGTGCTACCACTGTGGGGAATCCTTTGTCATTGTGCATTCACTACTTCGTGATTGCACCTGGGTGACTGCTTCCGGTCACGGAATGAAGAAGTTACAGGGATGAAAGGTGCAGAATAGGTCTGCAGCCGATGGGACTGTAAGAGTGTTGTGCGGTGACAGGATAGTTACATTTGTGGTGAGCACAGGGTAACCGACAGGCTCCTCAAATCACTCTGTTGTACGCTTGCAACTAATGTAACAGCATGTGTCAATTATACTTCAGTTGAAAAGAAAAAAAAAAGGGGTCTGGTGTATTTCCGGAGGCTCCTGTAGTGACCAATATCCAAATAGAATCAAAAGCTGTCTTTGGTTCTATTCTTCAATGACTAAAAGGGTTGGTGGTGGTGTCTATGGGTATGTAAGTCTCACCAACAGTTCTGTTCTCTCAAAGAAGAGGCTAGAGCCCCTCTGAGAGGCACCAGACTTCACAGGGGTTCCTCTAACCCCCTTCGTAAGCCCTCCAAAGAACAACATTCCACTGAGCGACCTCCATCAGTTCACTTAATTCTTTGCTTGTTTTTGCTTTATCATTTCTTTAATTAAGCTGGAGTAACAACAAGTACTTAATTGGAATAATAACAAAGATTATTATGATCTCACTCTACTGTTGGGAGGAAAAATTAAGTGAATAATTAAGAACTCGATAAGGGTTTTAAACACGCAAGGAGTTAAGGGAAAGTCATGCCATGTGATTATGGGACACTCTCGAGATAATGCTCAAGTAAGTGCTGAAACTCACGGGAACAAGTAGCAGGCTGCTCGGGCATCTCAGGAACCTGCTTCCAGAAGATACGGCCACCTTAGGAATGACTGAATAGAAGGGAAGATAGAGTTTTCTCCCCCTGGTATTTTTGAGACCAAAACTAAACCAGATAGCAGCTGTCAGAGGAGTTAACAATTGGATGACTAAATAAATGGTACTTGTTTAAATTCTCCAAACACAGAATTTTGCTGACTAGTTATGCCGCTTAGATAACACACGTGTGTGCAAAGATGAAAATGCAAGGATCTTAACCACAGCCTGCATTAAAGCATACATAACTGGAAACAGCCTAAGTGTTTCATAGGAGACTGGACCCCTAAATTATGAAAGTGCAAACAAAGTGGATTTTCACAGACATAAGGAGAAATTTCCAGGTAAAAACAAAGTCAGTCACCAAGCAACACATCATCCTTATTTTTCTCTGAGAAGGGAAGGGTGTCAGGGGTGGAGGGGAGGGAGGAAGGCTGGGGAGAGTAAGTTCATATAATTTGAAATGTTTATAGTGAAAATATAATCTTTTGTGAAAAAATTTATTGACGTATGTTGAGCCACTTTTCACACACAAGATTAAAATTTCTGTATGCTCTGACCCCTGCTTAATGACTAATATGCACTTTTTCCTACTGCTTGTTAGTTTGTGTTTGTCTTTTCCTCCCATTTCCATGAACACAAGCACTCATGTCATACTCTTTCCAGGAAACTCCTATGTTTTTCTTTAGGATTTCCATGCAATTTCCACACCAGCTATGCTCCTGGACAAATCACCATTTACGCTACCTCCTTCCTGGGTTTCAAAAACATGTCTGGTGGTATGAAAGAAATTCTAAGCCAGATACCAAAGCAAAAAGCAAAAAGCAAAAAAAAAAAAAAAAAAAAAAAGGGGATTGTCAATACTTTATTTCCTGAGTTAGGAGCAGCTACCATCAACAATCACAATTCATATAAAAAAAGGTAGGACATCTTATTACCATACTTTTGGGTTTCATGGAGCAGACTGAAGTAAATGAAATGAAGTAAAAAAAAATTGTGTAAATCAACATGATTTTGCCAGGTAATCATAATAAGCTTCCACTACTATGTCATAAAACAAATCATTTTTCTTCCTTCCTTCCTTCCTTCCTTCCTCCTTCCCTTCTTTCTTTCTTTCTTTCTTTCTTTCTTTCTTTCTTTCTTTCTTTCTTTCTCTTTTTCTTTCCTTCCTTCCTTCCTTCTTTCTCCCTTTCTTTTCTTTTTAAGTAAGCTATCAAAATTATAAAAGCATGTGCCTCTGAACTAAACTGTCCAACTGTCAAACACGTCACAACCCAGGGATCAAGAGTTGCATGCTCTACCAACTGAGCTAGCCAGGCGCCTCAAACAAAGCATATTTCAATATCCAAAAAATAACAAAAGCTCAGAATACAGAGACATTCTTTAGGCTGATCTAGCTTTATGAAAACTTATTTGGATTCATGGAAAATCTATGACCTTAGCTTATGTTATCAGATTTGGCTTCAGACAAGGAAAACAACTTATCATGAAATTCATCATCCAATTCAGGTAGAGGGGAAAGAGCTGCTAGTTCACAGAAAGGGGCTTTCAGCAAAATTGGGAATGCTTTACTTCCCAAGCTAGGTATAGGAACACAGGTGTTACTTTTCATAACATTTTATTTATTTTAGAGTGTGACTATTTCACGTGGAAAACTATTCCTATCATGGCTTTAAGAAATTGCTGAGTTGAATGCCTCCATTTCCAGAGAAAGTATGTATGGAGGCCCCTAGGAATGGGTAAGTGACCTGCCCAAGCAGAGCCAGGGGACAAGTCAAGGACTCCTTACGTCCTTCTCAGCAATCTCTCTGACTGCAAGCTGAACTCAGATCTCTGCACTGTTAAGATAATTCTTTCCATGAGCATTTGTTTGCATTTTCTCTTCTATTCAAACGAAGGCGTGAAATTGTATAAAATTCAATTCTTGCCAGTCTCTAGGAAATGTTCATAACATGTAACAGTAAATGTTGGCCATATTTCAAATTATAAAAATCCTAAAGTATGCTGAGTTGAAAACAGCCTTAGGTATTAAAACAAAGTACCTACGTTGTCCAGCTTTAAATGGATCCAAAGGACTTTGAGGAATAAAGGAAGGTGATCCTATCTTTCATCTTCAAAAAAACAGTTCTACACAGTATCTATGGCAACTTCGTTTCCAGACTAAGACAGTAGAGAATCTTTTTCACACAATAATGTTTTGATAGGTCTGTTCTTTTTTTATTCTCTATCTGATTACCAGAATTATTTTTTTTTTTTTTTAAAGGGAGGTGGGAATGCTGGATGTTTCTATGGATACATACCTCACAGCAAAGTGCAAAATGGTGGCACCTGGTTTCTTCGGCAGATCATGGTCAAGAACTCGGTGATCTAACTGTAGCCAGTTCTGCTGACCTCTGTGAGGGCAAAGCAAAGAAAAAGGATTAAACAAAAGGTCAGAGAAGGGTTCAAAACACACAATGTTGGGGAGATAGTTACTGTCATACATGGACCGTAGGCGTATAACCTGTTACAACTGGTAATGAGGTTAATTTAGCAATTACTATCAAAGTTATAAAAGCATCTGCCTCTGAACCAGACTGTTGATTTCCAAGAATTTATCAAGGTAAACTTGCACATGTGAAAAATGGCCCATGTATAAAGTCCCTTACTATAGCATTGGTTATAACAGCAAAGAGGCTCAAAACAACCTATAAAGGTCCAGCAAGATGTTGTTTAAAAATTAATTTAAACTGAGCAATAACATACAAGAGAGCCATACAAAAGATGGAGAGTATCTTTACAAACTTATTTTGAGCAATTTCCAAGACATGACGTTAAATGGAAGAACAAGGGGCATAACCGTGAGTACAGTATATAGCCATTTTAAAATTTAAACACACACACACACACACACACACACACACACACACACACAATATCTCTCAGAGGATTAACAAGAAACTGATACCACCTGGTACATTTGGAGGTAAAAAACTAGGTGAAACTTAATATATGAATCTTTAAATTCTTATTAAATGTGGTATCTGAAATATTTTAGATAGTCAAGAAGGGGAAAATTCCTGGTTTCATGAACTCAGACAGACACAAAGAACAGTAATACTGCTTTTCTAAAAAGTACGGGCTTACATATTCTCTGAGTGCTGTTTCTATATTATGGACTTCCTAATATTTGAATATGTATTTGTTTATTTACTCAAGAGCCTCAGTAAAATTCATGAATATAAACAGTTCTCCTTAAATTTTGACCTCTGAGAGATCCAAAGGATGACACTGTGGCTTGGAATTGTTTCCAGGTCTTTTCCAAGGCCATCCAACCAGTTGGTCCGTTTTAGACTGTATATTCCCAGAAGGCATAGACTCCATTTTGCTTGCTTATATAAAGCTTAAAAACATGCAAATGGTGGTGGGATGTCGAATTATAACAAAACCTATAATGGGCCAGAAGATATTTTCCAACCCTTTTTGGTCTTTGAATAAATAATTTAAAAAATTCAGAAATCTCTAAGCTGCATTCATTACAAGTAGATAGGAAAAGTGGACATAAACAATTACAAGAGTAATAGTAATAATCATTAATAGTAACAGCTACTCATAATGGTAACAGCTACTCTGTGCCCACAGAGCTGGAAGTTTTTATGTATTAAGGCTGTATTTTACAACAAGCTTGCAAAAAAATTGGCAGAGCCAAGATTTGAGCCCAGGACTTGCACTACAGGACTTTGGTATATAGAAGACTAGAAAGTTGAATCAGCTTTTATAACTTTTGGCTGATCTCTGTCACTTACTAGTCTCAACACCGGAAGAAGTGTGTCTTTGCTTGTGCAGTTATAAGATGAGGCTTCCGGTATTGTCCCTAGCTTTCCTAGGAGGAATATTATAAAGATAAATAAGCTGATATAAGTGATATAAGGGGACGTTCTTAGAAACACTGCTTGTTTAAAAATATATACATAAAGATAGGGGGCTAGAAGGTAGGGGACTCTTCCACTGTATTTCATCCAGTTTAGAATCGCCGATTTAAAGACATACGCCAATTTCAGACATGTTCAAATATGTGTCTTAAAGTACATAAAATAGTGTATAGTATCAGGTCTTAACAGTTTCTTAGGGAAAATGAGACTAATTTGGAATTGTTCTTCTTGCTTTTATATAGGAAAGATACGGCATTATTACAAGAGCACAATGTATATTTACATGAACATGCATGGAATGATGTCCAAAAATGAATAAAACAAGTTGTATAATAACATATACTGAATAAATCAATTATATTAACTAAAGAAGTGCACCGAAAACACTATTATATATGGATGAAATTCTTACAGTTTTGGAGAGGTATAGAGCAAATTGCAACATTTGGGGTGGGGAGGTAGTCAAAAGGGATTGGCTTCAATTATGATATTAAATGTTTTTTTTTATAAAAAGACATTCGTGTTTATGCACCATAAAATAATTTTTTAAAAAGGATAAATTAGAAATTAGATTTTAAAATCCATCCAGGGGTGCCTAAGCTGACTCAGTCGGAAGAGCATATGACTCTTGATCTTGTGGTCATGAGTTAGAACCCCACATTAGGTGTAGACATTGCTAAAATAATAATAATAAACTTAAAAAAACCCATCCATAATCTCACCAACAAGATAAAATTAAAAGAACAAAAATTTGAAAATTACCCGTAATTCTATCACTGAGATATAAATAAGGTTAACATGTTGTTTTATAGTAAAATGAGATCAGAAAGCACATATTGCTTATAACCTGCTTTTCTCAGGTTTTTCCATCAGCGAATATACTAGATCTAATCAGTATCTCAAAAAAAATACAGCTGATGCTACACAGTCACCTCTATCAAGCTTGCAGCTCAACCCTAAAGCAAGATTTTTTTTGGCTTATAATCGTATCAGTCAAAGATCCCATCAGCTCACACCCAGCGAATGGGATGGTGATCAAAAGCCACCATTGTGTTGTGAAAACTGTTATTTCTTCATAAACAAAGCTTATTCAGCAAAGCCTTTCAAAACAAGGGAATTAAAAAAAAATGATGTGGGTTTAAGGGGATGGGAACCATTTTGGTGAACTTCAGCGTTGCTGCCTCCGGAGGGCGAGACTGCCCTCTGGAGGTGAAAAACTGCCTCTGCACACAGATCACCAGGAGGTACTTTCAAGTGTAATCTCAAGGAACTCTACCCCACCCTCCAATAGGAACATGGATTTATTTTTGTTGGTCACCATCACTACTTTTCTTATGTAATGGCGCAATTCATTTTTTCCATTTCTCTTCTTGGCCTGTGTATGGGGGCATTGACAGTAGCTAGTTTCCTTGACAAAATGTCCCCCTCAGCTTTGCCTTACTCTGTTGAGAGAAGTTCACCAAAGGCAGACGGCTGATGTGGCATCTAAGTTGGAAATTCAATTCAGACAGCATCCTGGGAGGGATCCGACTCAGTGGTTTTACGGGGGGCGGGAGAAAGGGAGTGCTGAAAGAAAGTACTTTCCAAAAATATTTACCAGACAAAGAAAAAGAGCTAGGCTTGTGACCAAGACATTCCAAGGAGACACCCTTAGACAGAAGCAATTTTCCAGACCTGTTCCCCAGAAAGGTGGAAATGGCCAGATCCTCCCTTCCCCCTCCCAAAGCCAGCTCCTACTTCTTCTGAAAATAAACACAGTTACAGCCAGAAGACACCTTTCAAACTGGTCATAATTCAAAAATAGACTCTGCTGTCACTTACAGGGGAGTACACAGAGGACAGTTTGGAGCCAGGCTTCTTGGAAAGACTATAACCATCAACCACTGTCGCCAAACGAGATAGCTGGAGGAGACGCTTGAGTGAGACATTCTTCTCCCAGTAGAGGATTTAGAAAGAAATCCCAGAGCAGAAGAGGCGGGGGGGCGGGGGAAGGTGGCTCAAGGCATTGAAGGAAGTCATTCATATTATTCCTTTTCTTTCTGAAGAGAAGATCTTACAGCTGAACGACTGATTTATGCACTGTTTGATTATGCTCACCTGAACTGGGAGTTTTCCCAGAAGCCATCCACGTGGCCAGGAACCCCTTTTTCCAGCCCATCATGAACCTTGTAGCCTGGGGAACTTGCCACACCAGTCATAAATCATGTAATTCCCGGGCAAACATTCTACAGTCTCCCATCTATGTGGTACACAGGACCCACCTCTGGTCTTGTCCCCCTTACATCTCGCCCCACCGTCAGGCCGGGCTCCTCACCACTGGGCAAATGCACCGTATTCATCTCCATGCTCACACACGGGGCCACAAAATGAGTCTTCCCTGGGATGTCATCTTCCATTCCTCTCCCTTCCACCTAAAGTCTACCTGCCCTGCCTTGTCCATTTGTAGTTATCCTCTTGAGTGAATTTCACTCTAGTCATCCTTCAGCCCCCTTCTGGACACTGAACTTATTATCGTACCAAGAGCAGCATGAGAGCTTCCTTTCAGTGTGTGCCTGTGCTATGAGCTGGGCATATCTTACCTGACTTGACAGTACATAATCCTAGCAACCTATTACATGTGTCTTATGTAGTCCTTATTATATATAAGTACCATTATTATGCCCAATGTACCAAAGAGAACACTGGAGTGTCAGAGATGTTAAGTAACTGGTCTAAAATCTCATAGCTACCACAATTCTATAATATTCACTCCCTGCCTCCCTCTGAACCCTTAACTTGCGCCACTTTCCTTCTTACTGTCTATATTCCAGTCATATTGGATCTTTTTCTTTCTCAAAAATACAAAATAAAAAAACCCAAAAGTCAAGCTCCGTCTCACCTCAAGGCTTTCGCCCTGGCTTTTGTCCGGAATGTCTCCCTCTACTTTTGCAGAACTGGGTCTTGCTTTTTATTACATGTCTCCTCCTAGAAGCCCTCCTCGTCCACCCAATCTAACACTGCCCCCCAACTTCTCTTCATCATGGCCATGATGATGTTCTTCTAAGCATTTATCATTTCAAGTAATTTCTCATTTATCCATGTTTACTTGTTCTGCTAGACCATACCATTGCAACAAAAGCTCCATGAAAACAAGAACCTTGTCTCTGTCATGCACAACTAAATCTCTAGGACCTAGAACAATGCCTGGCATTTGGTAAGCACTCAAGAAATATTTGTTGAATGAATAAATTAATATTCATGCTTTTTGCCTCTATTCTATGTAACCTCTCTAAATTACAGTGTTTATAACACTTACAGTTCAACCATATAGCTTTTAGGTTTCATGTCTTATATTATTTGCAATTATTGCATGCACACTTTCAACCTGTGTGTGTGTGTTTAATCACTAATTTACATGAACTAGCCTTGTCTTTCCAGCTGAGCATGTGGTCAATGGATGTCTGCATTTCCTATTTCATCCAGCAGAGGACTGATCATATAGGGTCTCAAATAGTTGGGTGAACTGATAATTTTGTGAATCAGAGTGAGGTGGGTGATGTCTAGCGTACTTTTTGTCTAGTGTACTTCCGATTCAGGAAGCATCTTGGGTCTGGGATCAAAGTTTTCAGGTTTTTCTGTCTCCTGACAAGTGGTTGCCTGGTTTTGCCCAGCCCACATCCTGAGCCTGGGGTGGGGTGGGGGAGGTCCTAGGCTGTGGCCCACTCAGGCTAGAAATAATGAGAAGCAAGGTGTTAAAAAAAATTAACCCCTTCTTGAGATTATTTTCTGCCTGGTTAAACTAAAGAACTGAAAAAACATTTACACTGGGAGAGTTATAGAAAGAATGCTGGGCAGTTGGCCAATATATTTTGTGTCTGGAATGCATTTTCTTGAATTTTAATATTTGAATAACTCTTTGGATATTATCCCCACAAAGGGGAAAAATTCTTCTGATAATCTACCAGGTTGCAAATAACATAGGCAAATTGGACTGTCATAACACACAAACACTAACACACACACACACACACACACACACACACACACACACAGAGGAAAGAACTGGTAAGACCAAACACATTTTTTTACATGGAGTTTTAACTTCTTATGATTTTATTGTTATACACATGCTTCATCTTAGAAAGCATTTAAATCATTGATAAATACATACCATGTCCAAGTTAGCATAAAAAATGTAAGTAGAAGAAAAAAAAGATAGTAAAGAGGTAACATGAAATGACCTAGGGAGAAGTGGAAAAATTCATTCTGTATTAAAACTATAAACATATTTTCCAGGTGGGCCATACATTTGCCTTTAAACTGTCTGGCCACCAACACCCAAAACATTAATTCTTATTTCAATATATTAGTGAATAACGACTATTTCTATCACTGATACATAACTACAGTATAAAAAATGTGCAGATAGACTCCCAAGAATAACAACCTCATTATAACAAATTTCTAAAACATTAGGGCAATATTTTGATGTTTAAAAATGATCAGTATTCCCTTTCTTCTCCCTTTGCAATAGTCTGAGGAGAGAAATCTTGTATTAGATAATCTTTAACTAAGCAAGACATATTCTAATTCTTGGAGCATTTATGTCTTTTTCTGCAGATTGTGAATGACAGTGAGCAGGGAGTCCCCACGAAAGGTAAACAAATGAAAATGATTAAAACACTCACATGTCGTCTGTAAATGTTATTCCAAAGTACTCCTTTTCTTTCAGGTTGAAATGTGAAGCCACGAGGTCCAGCAATTCTCTTGATAAAAGTTTGGGCTGTTAAAATAAAATGTGATCAGAAGCTACAACCCTTCTCTGCCCCGAATAGTTTAGAGCAGCTATTGTTTGTTTGTTTTTAAAGTTTTTTAAGATTTTACTTATTTATTTGACAGAGAGAGACACAGCGAGAGAGGGAACACAAGCAGGCTTCCCGCCGAGCAGGGAGCCCAAGCGGGGCTCGATCCCAGGACCCTGGGATCATGACCTGAGCCAAAGGCAGACGCTAAACTGACTGAGCCACCCAGGCGCCCTTATCCCTGTTTGTTTTTAAATACATCCGCCGCCCCCCCTTTGGCTGTTTATGTTAATTGACTATACATTTTCGAAGAGATTGGAAAGGGGAAGAAATTGTAATAGGAACCCCAGTGAGATCATTATTTTCATGTATTTTGCAATTCAGTCCAGTACCTTACTTTTTCCTCTAGGGATCAGTATGTTTACTAATGCAATGATACTTTGGAAAGATAACTCTTTTATATGTAGCATGGTGCTAGTGACCAAGACAAAGAATATCAAACATCTCACCTCCTGGATTGTAGGAATAACTCTGTTTGGTGAGGGCCAGCTGAAGAGTTTGAAGACCCAACGCTGTGGGGTCACAGGTAAAACTACTACTCTACTTCTGGTTACCATTTACTGTGCTGAATTCCTTCTAACCATTGTCTCATTTCATCCTTATAATGAGCCTATGAGATAGGGGTTCTTATTGCCATTTTTTTTAAAGATTTTATTTATTTATTTATTTGAGAGAGAGAGAATGAGAGAGAGAGAGAGCACATGAGAGGGGTAAGGGTCAGAGGGAGAAGCAGACTCCCTGCTGAGCAGGGAGCCTGATGGCGGGACTCGATCCTGAGACTCCAGGATCATGGCCTGAGCCGAAAGCAGTCGCTTAACCAACTGAGCCACCCAGGCACCCTCTTATTGCCATTTTAGAGATGAGGGGACCAAAGTTAAAAGAAACTAAATGCCTGGCTTGATGTTCCAGTCAATAAGGGCAGGGAATTGAACCCAGTTCTACCTGATTCCAAAGCCTAAGCCTTTCATTTCTCTCTAGAACTAGAGTGATTTTACCCATTATATAGATGATCGTCACCAGTGTTTACTAAGCACTTAGAAGGATCTAATCTATGAGCTTTTGAGAAGCACCGGATGGGTGGCAAGGAGCATGGTTTGGAATCAGGGGGAACATCCAGAGTGACAGTGGACACCTGATTTATAGGGACTCAGGAAGGAAAGGGGGATATGCAGGAGGGCATTTGCATGGGCTCTTTTTGAACTTAGAGCCAGACAATTTAGGGCTCATTATGGTGCTTTGAGAGTTGGATGTTTGCTGTTAGGGAAGAAGGATGGTCATGATTTAAAAGAAAAGAAGAAAGAAAGAAACAGGCAGAAATCTGGTCTACTCTGGTGAAACAGTGTTGACTGTGCTATTTTCATTCTAACTGAAGCCCGTGCATAATGGGTGAGAAAGGAGCCTCAGAAGACTTTAGGTTTGGTCAAAGGAGAGAGTTCTAGCTGTAGCTACAGTTGTGGCTATCAGAGGGGATTTCCACAATTTTTAAAGGTCCTTGGTCCACAGTGTTGGGTAAATAAAGAGAAAAGGATCAACAATCAAAATACCACCACTCATACACTCCATATAGTTTACAAAAGGATTTTGTTCACATATATAAACTAGCTTGATTTTAGTCATAATTCTATGAGGAACACTAAGCCTTCTCCATCCCAGTTCACAGCTGATGATGCTGGGTATTTAACTTGGACAACGTCATGTAGCAAGAAAGTGGCAGGATGCAGATTTGCAGCTCACAATAACCCTTTCAGGGAAGCATTATGGTGTCCAGCTTACCAACAAGAGGTTCAGAGAAGTAAAGTCACTTCCTGGGGGTCACACAGCTACTGAGTGTCATAACTGAGATGGGAACCCAAGGGTCTCAAATCCACGTCCCCAGACTATAACTACTCTTACACATAGACCAAGTTGTCTGACTTGGAAGCTGTTCTTTTGCCCCTCAAACAATCCCAAGTCGTTGGCACATATAAGCGAGTAGCCTGACCACAGGCCTGGAGGCTCACAGAGGGAACCAGTACAGGCTGTCTCTATACGGGCAACACCCACCTGAACCAGCAGCTCCAGTCTCCGATCATCCAGGAGGTGTACCTGGCAGTGCCTGCCTTCTGTCATCTGTGGGGACAAGAAAGCAACAGTGGCATCATGGCTAGCATGGGCAAGCAGACCCTTGAACTTGATGTATAGTTTAGTTTACATGCGATGTGTTCAGGCTAAAAATGGCTTCAGTTGAGTTACTCAACAGCCTTGATCATAAACAGACTTACTCTTTGGCATTAGCTCTTGAATTCATCAATCAATGAATTAATTTGCTCTTCAATTTAAAAGAAGAAAAGAATGAAAAGCAAAGACAAGTCAGTATGTTGAAAAAATTATGTCTATAATAGTGCACACAAGATTATACTATGAAAAGCTGGTTTCCTTCCCAGAGGAAACTGCTATATTTTTCATTGAATCAATATTGAATTTTTCAAATGAAAATGTCTATATTCACTGATGTATTTAAATAAATATAATACATTCATAATTAGAAAGGAAAACTATGACATTAGAGTTAAAATTGAAAGTCTCTATCTTTGAAATGTCTGTCCTCTTTATAGAACATCACTACTGTAATTAAGAACAGTTAAGATATATAGTTAAGAACGGTACACGTCAGTATAAATTTCCAGTTATATTTACTTTTTTACCACTTATAACTGCAATACCAGGAAATATTCTTTGTAAAATATTTATTTATTTACTTATTTTTTATTTTATTTCATTTTATTTTTTAAGTAGGCTCCACACCCAATGTGGGGCTTGAACTCATGACCCCAAGATCAAGAGTCGCATGCTCTACAGACAGAGCCAGCCAGGCCCCCCTGTAAAATATTTAAACAATGCACAGAATACAAAGAGCCCCCTTAATTCACTCATGCTCCAAATCATTTTATCTGCAGAAATCACCACTCTGTCAGTTTGAGGAGAATCAGCTCAAACTGTTTTTACAGTTTGAGATATGTATGTGTACATATATATAGGTGTTCATATTTTCAGATATATATGTGTACATATTTTCAAAAAACTTCATATTAAATGGTTTGCTTTGCAATGTTATTGGACATATTGTTTTGCAAATGAAGTATTGTTAATATTTGTGTGTGTGTTTGTGTCTATATAATCATCCAGAAATTTTATATATGACTCTGTGTTTATGGGGTGTGTGTACTGTGATGCTATATGTATATACAAACACACATACATGATATATATACATATATATGTGTGTGTATATATATATATACATGTATATATATATTTTTTCCCCCAACTCAAGTGGAACTAAGCTATTTCTTGGTGATCTTTCCAATGCCAACACATATAGACCAACTGCATTCTTTTTAAAGGTTCTACAGTAACAAGTAATTGTATGGACATGTAATAGTTTAATGAGTCTCCTGCTGAGAGACACTTAGATGGCCTCCATCTAAGCAACATCATGGTGAACAAGGCATACCCAACTTTGCCCATGGTTGAGGAGCTTCTGGGTCACTTTGAAAAAGGATGGGCAGCATTTTCTCTCTCAGCTGCTGTATCAAACTATAAGAGCTGGAAACTCAGATATATTTAAACCAATTTAAAGAGAAAATCACTCCATTATGAAGCACCAGCTATAGACTTCTAACTGTTCCAGGTGTTTTATAGATATCGTCTCTGAGCTGCACGGTCACCATGTGGGACTGCTGATACTATCTCCAATTTAACAGATGGGGAAATTGAGGCTCAGAGTGGGATAAGCAATGTTTTCCGTGTGAAAAATACTAATTACTGCATTTACATTTTTTATTAAACTCTGCCTTAAAGGTCTGAAAACTAGCTCAGTTGGTTAGATCACGGTATTATGGAGATGTGGTCCATTGAAACCACGGAGGAAATGTGAAGAGGTGAGTGGGCAAGCTTTACCTTGTCCCATGGCTCCTGATTATGTCCTTAACTCCGCAAAGCCGAGGTGAAATACACACTTTTGGTGACGAAGAGAAAGGGAACGAATATTTATTTGTTCCAGGTACTAAGCTGGACAATGTACGTACATTATTTCATTAAAGCTCCACAAAAAATCTCTATGACAACATCCCCATATTACAGACAATGAAACCGAGGTCCAGAGTTTAAAGTAATTTATCCAGAGTTATCTGAGCAAGAAAAAAGCCAAGTCAAGATTTAAATTAAGTTCTAACTGAACAACAACAAAAAAGTCATCTTTTTTTCTACTGTTCTATGGGAAGAAAGAAATGCGTCAGTTCAAATCACTTTACTTCTCTTGTAAAACCCACACAAACAGACCCCAAATACATGTACTATGGTAAGACAAAATAATACTCAGAAGACCAACTGACACAACATGAGTCCATTAAGGAATATGTCAAAACTCATAAAATATTTCAAGTTACTCCGTTGTTGCATAATCCAAATGAATTTATTTTCTGATTTTCAAAAAGCATCTTTTTTCCTTCCCACCATACTTTGCTCGATCTCGTCGATTTTCCTTTTGTCAACACCCCATTCTACCCTGGGGAATTAAGTAGCAAATGTTTTTCTGGTGTGTCTGCCCATCTCGGGACAAACACAGGCAGTGGTGGCCATGTTTGTACAACTTGGTCCTACCACTTCCGCTTCAGGTTTCAGCTGATTGGACCAGGGAACAGACACCTGATTCAAGCTGAGCCAATCATATCCTCAGTCCAGGGAATCTGGAATTGAGGCTGAGAGGATGGGAAAGCAGTTGGGTAAGGACAGCTCTTCTCCGCTGTGTGTGGACAAAAAGGAAAGCCATCTGCAGAGAGAATGAAGGACACAGGTAGCTGGAAAGAGGCAAGAGAAATCATGCAACCTGCAAGGGAAAGCTCGAGAGAGTTGCTGTCCAGGTTCCTAATGTCATTCTAGTCACTTGTAGTCACTTCCACTGGTTTGGGTGAATTCTTGCTCTTTCGTTCCATGAAACATCCTTGTGTTCCTTTAATAAATCCATTTTTTTTCTTTCTGAAACTACCTTGAGTTGGATTCTGCTTCTTGCAGCTAAAAGTGTCTTCCTGAGATACCATAGGTATCTTTTGGGGGGGGGGCAGAGAGAGAGGGAGAGAGCGAATCTCAAGCAGACTCCCCACTGAGTGCGGAGCCCCACGCAGAGCTCAATCCCAGGACCCTGAGATCATGACCTGAGCTGAAATCAAGCACCAGATGCTTGATCAACTGAGCCAGCCCGGCGTCCCAGATACCACACCTAAATCAGAACGAAAGGTTTCCAAAGGACGGACTCCCCAGATGATGTCATTAATATGGTAAAGTCATCTAGTCATAATCATGGATGCACCATCCACAAATATAACAGCCAGGAGAAAGGCTGATATTTGGTGGGGAGAACTGAACACATGTCTCAGTATGTGAAGTGATAAGAGACCATACAAAACAAGCTAGAGAAGGGCAGTGCAGGTGAACTGGAGGGGGAAAAAATGCTACAGTTTTAAGCCCACGTTGGCACATCGTGCTCTGTATTCACCGAACCCTTTCCTCTATGGGAGGATGGTTTCTCCGGGAGGCCAGAGTACTGATCTGACTACCACTAGCGATAGAAAGGTCTGCCCTTGTCACTTACTTAAATCAGAGGTTGAAAGGTGGTTGATGTATTTTGTTATGAATAAATTTTTGTTTTGATGATCTCAGAAATCAGAAGATGCCACTTAAGAAAAATTGAGATGGTAGGATTTGGAAACACTGGGTTGGATTTCCCCCATGGCAACATTGGGCTAGGGTGGGGACCAGCAGCTCCTTCTTTAGATGAGATTTGTGGTCCCTGTCTCACCCAAATTTATTATCTGCCAGGTTCCTAGGAGTCGCATCACGAGAATAAGCAAACCCCTATTTAAGTTCACACAGGACAGGGAAGAGACAAAACGCCACGTCAAAGGAGGGCCTCCTCTGCACCAGGCCAAGTGCTTGACACTTGACCTTCATTAACATCTAGGATTTCAGCCTCTAAGCAAGCCTCTGAAAGGGGCATCCTCATTTTGTTTGGTTTCATTTTGGGGGGCCTTCCTCAATTTAAGCACCAGGAAACCAAGGCCTGGGAAACGATGTCACTTGCATGAGTTCTAAAGCCAGACTTGGGCTCAAAATCATATTTTACCTCTTACTAGCTGGGTTACCTTGGAGAAGGTACTTAACCTTTCTGAGCCTCATAAGCAATGTCCTGGTAAGCTTTCAATCTGACACCCCTGAGAATGAAATAAACCACTTCCACAAAGCACAGTTATTATACCCTTCATTTGCTTGAAGCTTAACAAACAGCTAATGAACCTTCCTATCCTCCATTTATTCTCCTATTAAAAAAAAAAAACAACAACTTTCTAATGGGATGAAGATTACTAACCCATTTTGAAGGAGATAAATGACAGGTGAGTTAACAAGCACAGAGCAGAAAAATTCTCCAGAGCTGATGGGGCAGACATAAAAAGAGAGAGGGGATCACGAGCTCCTGCAAGGCTTCTGTAAGCCTGGCACCCGGTTTGGCATTTTATTTTTATTTTTTAAAGATTTTATTTATTTACTTGAGAGACAAAGAGCATGCACACACAAGGGGGGGGGTCAGAGGGAGAGGCAGAGTCCCCACTGATCAGGGAGCCCGATGTGGGACTTGATCCCAGGACCCTGGGATCATGACCTGAGCCGAAGGCAGACGCTTAACCGACTGAGCCCCCCAGGGTTCCCCCACCGCCCCACCCTGTTCAGTATTTTATTGACAACACTGATATTAACCACTAACCAGTTCTTTCTGTATTCCAAGCATTGCACTCAGCACTTTTCACGTATTTGCATATCCGACCCTCATGATACCCACGCGAGGTAGGCAATCTCCTCTCCCCATATTACAGGTGAACAAGGTTACAGAGATTGTACATAACAAGATTCATAAATGGCAGAACTGGACTCAACCCCAAAGCCCAAGCCCTTAACCGTTTAGCTGTACACCTGCTATTCCATATGCTCTATGGTGACAAGTTGTGGGAGAGCCTTCCCGTGCAACCAGTTCCAATAGACTGGATGAGTGAGGAGCAAGAGGGAAAACAAAACGTTCG